CATAAAGTATCCGATGCAAAACGCCTGTCCTCCCGTAGCAAATATTCGCCCGTCTTAGTTAAGTTATCTTCATCAATCGATGTCGACTCAATATTTGCCCTTTGAGATCGTGTATCTTCTTACCTGAATAATGCAAAATATATACCATTTCGTGATCTTACTCCCATGGAGAGTAGAATCGGATCCCTCTTCTCAAATAAACCCACTACTTCTCAGTCTAATGTTTATTAACTCGGTCGTAATACATGTGGCCGTGAGGATTCATTTAATCCTACTTCAGCGACATCTGACTCCCTCCTGCCCCATTCTCCTGCATCTCCCTCCCATTCAGGCCACTAAGCGCACTCGCCTGCCCCTAAATTAGCAGCAGCAGCTCCAGTTGTCGTTCCCAATCCTCCAGATAGGCACCCTAGGACTCACGAAAATCCGTCTATATCAACTAGACTGATATCTTCCCCTTTCGAATTCGGTTTGGAATTTTCGACCTCCGAGGGATTTGCTTTTTCCGGGATTTCTGCCTACTAGACGCTCTGCGGGCCCATTTGGATTAAGAAATTGAAGCGTAATCAGCATTTCCACGAACGATCCACTCAGAACTCCGACAGAACTTTCTTCGGGACGACCATACTCCTTCGTATCAATTCTCTGCCAACAGCACCGCGGAGCTCTCCAGATCCAGAAGCAGCTGAGTCGTTTGATATTAACTTCATATTGTTGGCTTGGTTAAAAAGCTTCTCCTACACCTTTGACTACTTCGTCCATACCTAGAATCCTTTGCGTATCGTTTGAATTAATAATGGGAGTCGACAAAACACCGTCAGGACAATGTGCGAAAAACTAACCGCAAGCGGGATATGAATCCAGGTCCAGTCGTAGGGTGACCAGCGAGACGACCGCCAGACTATCCGCGCACGGCCAGCAGACTGAAATAAATAAAGGAGTAAACATTATTCGTAGTACAAACGACACTGTGTATGAAGGAAAGTCTATTGAGAAGGCCTTGTCACCTACGAATAGCGCTCGCTCTCTTTATAGTTACAATCAGCGGCCTGCAAAGCGCGCTAAAAGCGTTATCACAGCAAAACCTGTTAGTTACGAGGACGAGCCGTGCACTGGATGCTCCTTTATTCTGCTGAAAGTCCAAAAAACTCGAAAAAGAGCTGACCGCTTTAAATGAACTCGTGCAAGCGAACGATAGTGTGCAAAACGCGGTGAATAGCGCTAAAGTTAGCGAGAAAAAGGGAAAGAGCAAAACTCTAAAACAGCCAAAGAAAAAAGCTTGTTGAAAACCTCTGTGCAAGGGCGCCGATACCCAGCACGATGGGGAAATAGCAACGGAGTCTCTTGTTTCTATGGAAGACAACCCAAGCAAACCATCAACTTCTCTCAGCCATTCCGCGTGTTCAATAGGACCCTCAGTTGGAAGTGAGGAAACAAGCACATGGCAAGATGGAAAGGGTAAACGCCACAACGGGAGTATAGAACCCCAGACGACTCCGGTGAATCTTCTGAGACCTTCAGCTGACAAGGTCGCCGGAAACAGAACAAATGAACCCCTTGATCGTCAGCACTGCGTAGTCGTCCAGGGCCTATCCTAGTCGAATGCTCCTACCCCGAAGGAGAGGATCTCCGCTGACCTTAATATGCTTCAACACCTACTGAACAAAATGCTTAATTCGAATGAAAAGATAAACATTCGCGCAGCCTTCAGGATCGGAAAGAAGGTGAGCGAACAATCGGAAACTGTGCAGCCACGACCTCTGATACTTGTTTTGAACAGTAAAGAGGAGACTAGCTTACTTCTGTCCAGGAAAAGCAGCCTCCGAAACTCTCACATGGAAGTTCTGTTCAGCCGGACTATTCTCTAGCGGAACGTCTGAAACGCTGCGAATTGGTAACGGAGTTGAAGAGGAGACTTGCAGCGGGAGAGTGCAACTTGGCCATTTTCAGGGGACGAGTGATACAGAGGAACGCGATGTTGTTTTAGAACCAGCCAGTCGTCATGATGGTGGCAGCAACATAATATTGGCAAACCCGAGACAGACCGAACGAAGCATGTCGAGTGTTGCAAACTAAAATTCTTTTACACCAATGCTCAGAGTCTGTTTTCCAAGCTTGACGAACTGAGAATACAGGTAGCCGACACTCTTCCCGATGTTATTGCAATAACAGAAACGTGGCTGTCAGAGGACGTTGGCGATTGCGAGGTAGCATTAACAGGATACCATTTGTTTAGGAGAGACAGGAGAGGCCGCCGGGGTAGAGGAGTTGCCATGTATGTCAAGAGCAACTTAGCAGTGTGTGAGAGGACCGACAAAATTTCTAACGACACAGAGGCAATTTGGCTGACTATAAAGGCGCGAGGATCTCAGTCCCTCGAAGTCGTAACTGTCTACCGGCCCCCGCAGGCGGATCCCGACCCGGATACTTGTCTACTGGAAAGCATAAAAGAGATCGCCAGCCGACCAGACGTTGTTCGCATGGGGGATTTTAATGCACCCTGCGTTCAATGGAGCGATATCCATGCGAAGTGCTCGAGGAATACCTTCGATTACCATCTACTAAAGACAACCCTAGAAGCTCTACTCACGCAACGTGTCCTGTTTGCAACTAGAGCTCGTGGACGGCAACAAGGCAGTTGTCTGGACCTCGTTTTTACCAAAGATCCTGACAGTATAGACGAGGTGTACTACCTACCCCCGCTCGGTCGAAGTGATCATGCAGTGCTTTTATGGGAGTACTTTCTGTATTCTGAACCGTGTACAAAAGACAATACGAGGCCAAATATATGGAAAGGGGACTTTCGCCAAATGAGAGCTGAGGCATCACAAATAGACTGGGATGTTCTCTTCTCCGGAAACGTTAACGAGGACGGGAAAAGTCTGATTTTTAGGAGGCGACGGGATTTTGAGAGTACTTTGCTCCACCGAGCCGTTAAAAATCCGAAATTACTCTACAGCTATTTGCGGAAAAGCACACGTAACAGGAATCCCATTCCTGTTATGAGGGGTGATGACGGCTTGGAGATATCGGACAGTACAAATAAGGCTGAGCACTTTTCTCAATTTCTCCGATCCGTTTTCACAAGAGAAGCAGACTTTATTCCATCTACTTCTGAGAACATGAGAGATCCCACTATCGAAAATATTGTCTTTCGAGAAGAAGCGATTTTGGAAGAACTGAAAAGCTTGAAGGAATGTAAATCTCCCGGTCCGGACAAGATCCCAGCAAAGCTGCTCTTTGAGCTCGCCCAAGAGCTGGCCAAGCCACAATCCTTTCTGTGCCAGAAATCGTTTGATGCTGGAATTCTTCCCACAGACTGGAAGACGGCCCACATTACAACCCTTTACAAAAGCGGTAGTCGTGCTCTGGCGATAAACTACAGACCCGTCATTCTAACATCAATCTGCTGCAAAGTGATGGAGGAAACCATCAAAAAGGATTTTATGGCTTACTTGGAAACCCACAACCTCTTGTCCAATACAAATTATGGTTTCCGTAGGGGAAGATCATGTGTTACGAACTTGCTATACACAATGCGAAGTTGGACACGAGCACTGGACGCAAAACACACAGTGCATGTTGCCTATATTGATTTCCAGAAGGCGTTTGACAGTGTTCCGCACCAGCGTCTCCTACACAAGTTGATAATTATGGACATCGGTGGCAAACTTCTCAAATGGATCGAAAATTTCCTTGTCGGCCGTTCCCAAATTGTCAGCGTAGGACAACAGCAATCAAGGTGCACATCCATAGAGAGTGGGGTCCCACAAGGCTCGGTGCTCGGACCAACTCTCTTTCTCTTGTTCATCAATGACTGTGTAGATGGGTTGGACTGTGATTGCGCCATGTTTGCGGACGACATAAAAATCTGGAAAGTCATCCAGAATGCTGCCGATGAGACAAACTTCCAAGAAAATCTTTGTCGATTGGACGAGTGGTCCCGCAGATGGCTCTTGTCCTTCGATTTGAACAAATGTACAATTCTGCGCCTCGGAAATCAGACCCCTAGTACGCGGCAATACCATCTGAACGGAATACCACTTCGAGATGCAGAAACGCAGAAAGATCTCGGAGTCTGGGTTGAAGACAGCCTAAAGCCTTCTACACAATGCTGTAAGGCGGCCAAGGCCGCAACCTCAATGCTATATGCCATCAAGCGGGCATTCGCAGTTTCCGATGAAGACTGTTTCTCCAAAGTCTTCGGCATGTTTGTAAGGCCGCATCTCGAATATGCAATCCAGGCCTGGAGACCATGGACGCATCAGGATTACAATCTTCTCGAAAGGATGCAGAGGCGAGCAACAAAGCGAATAAGACGTCAAGGTGCAATTCCATAGGAGATTCGATTAACCTACCTTAATCTCTATCCTCTGAGTTATAGGCAGTTGCGCGGAAACAAGATACAAACTGTCCGTATCGTGCGCAGCTTGGATTGCGCCCTTCGGCGCGATAAATTTTTCCAACTCGCCACTATAACTCACCTCCGCGGACATCCCTTCAAGTTACGCGTGCCCCAGTGTAGACTGAATGTGAGAAAATATTTCTTCGCCAACCGTGTTGTGGAACCGTGGAATAACCTGCCCGAGATGGTTGTTATGTCTCAATCTGTGGAGACATTTGAATGTCGCCTTGACAGATATATGCTGCAGCAACAAGCGGAATATGTGACTTTTAAGCCATGTGACTAGTGATATATGTAAATAAATGTATGCATCCACTTAAAACTGTAATTTCTACAAATTTTTGCTTGTTTGTCTATTAATATATGTACAAATAGGGAGTTCAAAAGCGCAAGTCAATTTCCCTCAAATACACTGACTGACTGACAGTTCAACAAGATACTGCAAGCCCTACAGTTAAGGCAACTGTGGCCTGGCGTCAGAACAGTCAGACTCCAAAACTGAATCAGACTCCGACCCAAAAGAAATGTAGTACAATTCCGTTTGGAAGTTCGCGGCTTTCTCTAAGATCTACCAAACCTTTACAGCCCAGCTCGTCCACAACCCCCGCAGCTCCAATAATAATAATATTTTATTAAAGACCCGGCGGGGCCCCATCAAAGCAAGTAAAAATAAATTTAAAAAGAATTTTGGACGAGGTAGGCAGAATCCGTACAAAATTCAATTCACAGCTACTGAATGTGTAGTCCGTTAAGAAAAATGATGAGCAAGAGGTAAAAAAATTATCTAAAAATTTAAAAATTTTTGGATTAACCCAAAAGGAGAAACAAACCCTCGCGAAAAATAAAAGACTAAAAATGCGGGCAGGACTGGGCTGCATGTGACGGTATATAACGAATTATAATGAGACATCAACTGTAGCAATAAGTACAATAAAGGATAGATTAAGAGGTTTGAATCCATACCTGCCGCGCCACTTTGTGCAGTGCGCCGGGTCTCTTAGTGAAGTAGTCGCCTGGAAGGGACCGCAACTTCGTCAGTTCCTATTTTACACATGAGTAGTAGTGCTGAGAGGTATTCATCCTGGGAAGTACTGCAGACGATTTCTGATGTTGTTTACAGCAATATGTTGTCTCACTCGTCAACAGCCTTGGAGACAGTAGGTGCCTTACTGAATAGCTTGCTGAAAGTGTTCATTAGCCGATTTGCAGCACTATATGGTAAATCAGAAATGGTGTGCAATGTACACAGCATTGAGCACCAACTGGACGATGTCGTGCGTCATGGTCCGATCGGTAGCTTCTTGTCGTTTCCTTTCTAAAGCTACATAAGCAAAATTAAACGTATGCTTAGAAAGCTATCGCAGCCGCTGCAACAAGAAGTATGTAGGTTGGGCGAGCTGAGAGCTGAGCGGCGCGCATTGTCATATCCAACAGAGTGTACTTTTAACAATCAACACTCCAACGGTCCTCTACCACCAGCCGTCGGGACGCACACAATTTACGTCAATTCAGAAAGAAGGAACTATAATTGGTACGACTACGACAGCGGGGTCATTAGCGGTCAATGGCAAGTTAATCAGTGTCAAAACCTAAACAGATATCCATTTGGAGACGTAAGCCTGGTTTGTGTTGGCTACGAGTGTGTTAAAGATTATGTTGACCATCCTATGCCCTCATCGAATATTGAAGTTTTTAGCACTAGAATGGGGACCGTTGTCAACACTTGCCCATTGCCAACAGCCGTTTGCAAATACGTTTGCTTGCCCGTCGATGACCACCTCGTCTTAATTGAAATTTAT